GCCCCCAGCCTGTCTGTCTGTTTTTATTATTCCCCAAAAAGAGCTCAGAGGCTTAGATGGAAGGTGGGTTCCTAGTGGGCACAAAGTTCTTTCAATAGCGGCAGGAAACTTAAGAGCATGCCTTCGCTTTTGTCAGTGACCATAGTGGAGAGCTGAGTTTTACAGGAGAAGTGAGAAGAGAGTAGAGAAGCTCCCATTGGAGATTTTTACTTTGCATCTGAGAATAGAAGTGAAAAACTTGTGATTTTGATTCTGAAAAACAGCTCAGTGACCCTAAAATCAAACGTATAATGAAGAAACTAATGACATACCACACTGACTTCAATAATAACATTGGTTCCCACAGGCTCATGCTCTGCCTACTGTGACATCAAACTGGTTTAGATAAGCCAGAGCTGAACACCTGAGAGGAACTGTGATATTACTGGATCAGTGAAGCCATCATCTGTCCCTCCTTTCTCCATTGAAACACCATTTCCACCTGTGAATAGCAAAAGCTCTCAAGACAATATTCAGTGTATGGTACAATTTTTCAGCCTTGGCCTAGAGTATGTCCATTGTAATTAGTTGTGTGTACAGTCAAATCATGAAATATGGTAAGTGGTATTTTAACAAGTGCCATCTAAGTATAGAACATCCACAGCTCTGTAATTAGGGCTTGTTCACATGAGAAACTTAGGAGCAACACCAAGGACCTGCTGCATTTTATCCTGATACACATTTTTTTTTAAAACCTGAACAGACCAATACCTATTATAGAACAAGGATAAACTGAAGAACTTGCAGAAACGTTACGATGATTGGAACAGCACAGGTGACAGTCCAGATCAGTATTTCTTAAACTTTTTAAGACTGAGGAACACCAAACAATATTTTTTTTAATGAGGAACACCAAGGATTTTTGTTGTTGAGCAAATTAAATAAATAAATAAAAGGGGTCGGAGGGGGAGTTATTGAGCCAAAAAAAGTTGCCTGCCTCTTTAAGGGCAACCATTTTGAACTCTGTTGTTCTCCAAAGCATACCTCCGATTGCCCCAGTGCGCCGCAGAACACAATTTAAGAAACACTGGTCCAGTTTTTATAATCACAAAACAAAGCAGCATGGCCTAGGGTTTAAAATTAAGCTCTGTGTCTGACTTCTGTAATCCTTGACAAGTCACTTAGCTTCTTTGTCTCAATCTGTAAAATTTCCCCTTTGTAAATTACTCTGAAATTATTGGTTATCACACTTTAGGTAAGAGTTTAGCATTGCTCTTGAAAAAAGACTGAGGAAACATTGGTACCAAAGGGAATGCTGGCAGAGAATTATATTGCTCATTATTGAATGTAGGTAATTCCTCTCTTTTGAGCCAGAGGGAAATGTGTAACAGATTCATCTGAAAGCCAACTTCATTGTGATAAAATCCTCCAAAAGTCAAATTGTTGGTGAGTTTCAACTTCTACATTGCACCCATTAATTTATGTGCTCTCTCTGCAATAGAGCAGAGTACTGCAGAAAGTGTAGGATGTGATAGGACAGTTTCATACTTCAAGGCCTAGAAACAAGACTGCTTCTGAAATATGCAAAAAGTGGTCAGTCTAAGACCAGGTCTACTCAACATATATGGGAGAGAAACAGTCTTCTTGTCCTGCATATATTTGAGAGTTCAAAATATTTTCCTCTCTCAAACCAGGGCAAAAAGTCACATTTCAAAAACATCCAGTAACTGGGAGGAGGCAGAAGAACAGACTTTTGTTTTATTTTGAGTCAATCCAAATGTTTCGTTTCAATATTTTTCACTTTTTTAAAATAAAAGCTTTTTTCAGGCTCATTAACTTAAATTTCAAACCAAAAAGTCATTTTAAACTGGGGGGGGAAAAAAATCAGAATTTTTCTCTTCAATATTTTTCTTGGAATTTTTTGAAGATGGGAAATTCATTGAAACCAGCCCTATTTTTGTGAAATCTTTGTTTTGGTAAATCAGCATTTTCAAGCACTTTAGCTCCTTATAGCTAATGGACATTAACCTCTATCACTAAATCTGTACTGACATATCCTCCAACAGCATAGATATACAGCTAGCTTAAATATCCATTAAGTAACACAGGGCTAGATGATGGAGGTGCCAGTTAAAGCTGGACTTACTTCCCCATCTGTGCTGCCTTGGTGGCATGACCTGGTATGTTGGAGTCAAGGGGTGGAGCCACAGGAGTTTTTGTCACATGCCTCGTAATATGAATAATTTGTGCAGAGGAGTAAAAGGGCCCCTTCTATTCCCTGAGACAGAACCTCCTTTTAGATGACGCACTAGTGACAGGTAACCTTGCAGACAAAGATGTCAAATACTGTAGTAAATGGTGCGACAATAATTAGATGCACATTTTTAAATTCATGAAACATTATGTATTTGAAAGAGTAAATCACTGATCTCATCAATAATACAGGGGAATTGTTTTCACATGTAAACATTCTTCAAACTCTGTAGTAACACAGACTTTAGAACATTTTCTCATACTTCTGTCCTCTCTCTCCCACCCCCAAACAATTCTGTTGTGTGCATTGCAGTAATGATCCCATGGTTCTTTTATATAGTGGCCTTAGATAGCTGGATGCCCAAGTACCTAAAGTGTATGCTGAAGAGGCACAGTAGCACTGTACAATTGTTTGTCCTTTTGCTCAAATGTTATCCCTGTATTATGCCACAGAAGGGTACTCCACATAAGTTGCTCCATGGACTAAAAGGAAATGTATTGGAGTGATTTTGCACCCAAGTAGCCTATGGTCCTGCCATTTTAAATGCATTGTTTTCCCATGCTTTTGGAATACTCTTAAAAGATCAGATAAAATAGCTTTCAAATACATAATGTTTCAAGATTTGCCTTATAAGGTAAAAATACAGGCATTCACCAGAACTATATTTAATAATCAACTTTTAAATCCACTATTGGCCAAATTCTGCCCCAGCATACAACTTATCAATCTGATGCTTTTTTGAGAGTATATAATACATCCAACACATGAATGCTAGTACACAGAGTATCAAATCTTATGGGGGAAGGGTATTTGGTTTTGAGCAAGCTACGTGAATGTAAGATTTTTTTTAAAGTCAGAATAAAGCCACCATTCAAAAAAGGGGACAGTTGAAAGAAAAATGATAATCTGTGTATGTGGTTTCTTTTGTGTGTGTTGCATATATCAGTATTCAGACTCTGGTATGTTAGAAAACAGCCAAATGTCTGTCATTTTATTTATAAATTTTAGTAGCCTTAAAGTAGAGGAAACAAATGGTTTCAAATATTTCTCATACATGTATATCCTGTATATTCATTGTTTACTTTTATACTGGTGGCTTGGTATGTAAGAACATTGGATATGTTCAAGTCACCCATAAAAATCTATGATGCATTACCATATTTGTGGATTAAATGATTTGTGATTACTGTATTTGTGTTGACTTTTTGTTTTCATTTTACAACCTTATGACCAGGTGCGCTACTCACCACTAAGATGGCACCTCCTCCTGACCACTCTGGAGAGTAGCTTCACAAGGTCAATGTTTCTTCCCTCAGTTGCACACCATCTCTCTCCGTCCTTCTCTCTTGCTCCAGGAGTGTGACTCAGCCTTCTGGCCAGGTCACTATACACATTTTTCCCTTTTGGGAAATCAAAGTCTCTCTGCACGCTAGCAGTCTCAGATAATCTTCCCCTTCACTATGCCCTGGGGCCACTCCCTCAGGGCTGGCAGGGGAACACAGACCTGCCCTCTACTCTAGGTTGTGGCTCTAGGACCCTCTAATCAGCAGCCATCTGTTCCCTCCTGGACCTTTCTGCCTTTTCCTGAACCCTATAACACTCCCCCATCCTCCTTGTCAACCTCTCAACTCCCTCCTCCCACCCTGGGAGTAATTAACTGTGAGCTGCCTGTCTCTGCAGCTTCCAAACATTGCTGCCTTCATCCAGGGAGTGACTGCAGACTTTCTCTCTGCTTCCAATTTCCTGTCCTTACAAAATTAGCCAAGCTCATTCCTCAGCAGCTGGGCTTCTCATTCAGTCCAAGGATTACTTAGCCACCTGATTCCTCTCAGCAATGGTGTGTCACGTTAATTAGCCCCCTTCTCAATCTACAATAACCATGTCAGGGCAGGGGTAGGCTGAATAAACCCACCACCTACATAATTGTGCAACTGAAAGTTGATAGGTGAACTCAGAACTTTTAATACCAATTGCTACTTGACCTCAAATAAGGATTATTACATCATATGAGGTTATATCATATTAAGTGTCTGTGAAATTGCAATGAATACATCTGTGCAGTCATATTTCAGCATACAAAGTAAGTACCAATATAAAATACTTTCAAAAATTACTTTAAAAGGATAATATTATTAGAGTTTCAAAGGCAAAAGTGAAGAAATGCCAGAATTAAAGCTGTCTGCACAACCTTAATTTGGCCCTACTCTACATATACATTAGAAAAGACTCTAATTATATGATGACACTGAGACCTCAAAAGGTCAAGTCCCCTGTCTTCATGGCAGGACCAAGCACCTGCAGCTCCCATTGGCTGCAAACAGCAAAAGCTGCAGACCTGGTAAATAAACAGCAGCAGCAGACCACTTTGGCTATGTCTACACTTTATGCTTATTTTGAAATAACAGAGCGTGCGTCTACACGGCAATCCCATTATTTTGAAATTATTTTGAAACAACAGGCTTCTTATTCCAACTTCTATGACCCTCATTTCATGAGGAGTAAGGGAAGTTGAGGGACGAGTGTTCTTCCTTTGACTTCCTGCTGTGTACAAAGCGCCAAAAGTCAGGTTAAAGTACCTTGACTGCAGCTACGCAATTAAAGTAGCTGAAGTTGCATATCTTAACTCAACTTTAGCCCATAGTGTAGATATATCCTTTGAGACACACTGATCTAGATCATCCCTTATGTTTATCTAACCTGCTTTTAAATATTTTCAGTCAGAGAGATTCCACAACCTCCCTAAGCAATTTA